GAGGATCACCTGAGTCCAGGAGGGCGAAGCTGCAGTGAGCCAAAATCGCACCACTGCACTCCAGCCTGGGGGCCAGAACAAGACGCTGTCTTTAAAAAAAAAACAAAAACAAAAACAACAACCAAAAAAAACATAAGAGCTCATCAAAGAGACCTTCTCTGAATACTGTGAAGCAGATCCCACCCTCCCATTCTTCTCTAGCGCTGCCCCTTGGTGTTTCTTTTTTATCCTTTATCACAATCTCTTTCTTTCTTTTTTTTTTTTTTTTGAGACGGAGTTTCACTCTTGTTGCCCAGGCTAGAGTGCAATGGGGTCATCTCAGCTCACTGCAACCTCCACCTCCTGGGTTCAAGCAATTCTTCTGCTTCAGCCTCCCAAGTAGCTGGGACTACAGGGACCCACCATCATGCCCGGGTAACTTTTGCATTTTTAGTAGAGACGGGTTTCCCTATGTTGGTCAGGCTGGTCTCAAAGCCCTGACCTCAGGTGATCCGCCTTCCTCGGCCCCCCAAAATTCTGGGATTACAGGCATGAGCCACTGTGCCTGGCCCTTTGTCACAATTTCTAGTGGTTTTACTTATTCGTCTTTTTATTTTTCTGACTTCTCTACCATACTGCAAGTTCCACGAGAGCAAGAGACATGTATACCTGTCAGAGACATGTTCAGCACTGTATTCTTAGTACCCAGCAGCACATAATACATGTTCAAGAAATCTTTGCGGAATAAATATACAATGAGCAGGTACCAACCCTCAGGGCACGTAGAATACAAGAATGGTAATCCCTGCTCTCAGAACTGCCTGGTATGAGCAGCAGAACTAGAAATGGAGAATGCAGTGAGATCAGGTCCAGATTGGAGGAGGGGGAGGATTTTAGGGCACCTAAACCAGGCCTAATCTCTGTTGAACTTTTGCTACCAATCACCTAGAACCAAGGATAGAACCATTTGGCTGCACCCCGCCAGGTGACTCAATTAGGCCCTGAGCATCCAAGCAGCAGCAGGGGCTGATGACTCATCCCAGAGAGTGTGTGCTTAGAGGGTCCTGGGACCCATTACCTTTTCCAGTGAGGGAGAGCTTGCCAGTTGGTCTCATGGGTCCTGTTTGTGGCCAAGTCCAAGATCACTGAGGGTCCCAGAGAAAACCCTACACCCCCTAGCCTAGCCGCCAATCTTTTGCCTGGTCCCTTGCTTCAGAAGAGATCTTGGAGAGTGTTAGGGAAAGGAATATCTGCCTAGCCCTTGGGATTAGTGGGTGACAGATGTCCCCACTGGTTTGCCTTCATATCTAAAGGGTAGAGGGGTCATCCCACATGGCTCAGAGAAAGCTAGTGCCTCAGAGAACAAGTGGCTGACCTGCCTTCCTGTTCTGGACTACCAAAGGGAGCTGGTGCTGGCAGGAAAGACTGAAAGGGAACCCAGCAGGAGGAGGAGGAACGAAGCCACTGAGAATCCCCCCTTCTATGAAGAGAACAAGTCTAGAGCTCTGGCTGGCTCTCCTGGTAGAAGCTCACCTCTCAGTCCAATTTTCTCCCAGCAGTGAGGAAAGATGGCAACTGCTGCTTTTCAAAGCTCAGAGAGAGCAAGAAGCCTTTTCCTTCCATCCTTCCCCTGGGAGATTCCCACCCCCTACACCACCTCAGGATCCAAAAAGGTAGGCTCAGGTTCCCAGCAGTCTTCACAGTTAAAGCCTGAATCTGCCAAAAGCCCCCGCCCAGCTTATCCCCTGCTTCCGGGCTTTGCCTCCCTGTCCACAGAGGATGCTCTTTAGCCAGAGTCCTCCACGGTTCCCCTGATCATTCCCTACCTGCAGCTAGGCTGACCATGCCTCTGTCCACATTGTTTAATCCACCAGGCAATACTCAAAATGACTCGTTAACACTTCCTGAGCATTCGCAGGCTGCTGTATTTAGTTCTGATTCCCATTCTTCCTCCATGAGAGTGCTTAGGTGGGGCATGATCTCCAGCTTAGAAAGGTTAAGGTAACTTGCCCAAGGTCACACAGCAGGAAAGTAGCAAAAAACTTGTTTCTCTTGCCCGGGAGTTTGGCAGGTGCTCAAATAATCTTTGTGGACAGGGTGAAATCTGTTGTTTCTTCATTTCCCTGACCTGTGGGTACTTGAGGGTGGCCGGGGAGTGGTGTGTGGGAAGGGGGATGGCTGTCCTTCTTCATGAATGAACCTTTGACCTCCTTAGTTCACTCTCACTTCCAAAGAAGTGACAGCTTTGACTCTAATCTCTCTGTACCCTATGTTCAATGTATTTATCGCAGCAATGCCCCTTTTTCCAGGAACAACGAAGAGTAAGTCTAATGATTTCCTTCTCAAAAGCGCAAAGATTAAAAAAAAAAAAAAAAATCAAAAAAAAATCCAAATAAACAGCCCCGTTTCCTCCCCAAATATACAGCCCATAACTAAACAACCAAAACAACCAAAGCACCAGCCCGGCCCCTGCACTGACCGCAGACGCCCCCAACACACGCCACCACGCCACACTGCGCCGGGAGGCGTCGGGG